CGGCGACTCGGGGCCCTCTTGGAACCCCTTGGGGGTCTCTTGGGCCCCCCCCCTCCTCCAAAGCGCCGGAAAAAGCGGAGCATGGCGCCCCCCCCCCCCCTATCTTCCACTCCCCCGGAGCGGCCCCGGGGTTCGCCGGAAACTCGCACCCCCCCCCCCCCCCCCCACCCCCCCTTCCCCGGCAGAGCCACCCCGGCGACCCCCCCAGAGGCTGAAGCTCAGCCTCGAGGCTGTAGCTGAGACTCCTTGAAACTCACACGCCGGATCGGCGGATTTGCAAACCATCCAGGCTCACATCAACGCCCACTTCTTGCATTGATTGCTTGAGCTGCTCGCAAGGCGGTGGCGCAGCGGACATTGCGCATTTGGGCGCCATGACGGGGGCCGTACCTTTGACGGAGAGTCACCGGCGGCCGTCCGCGTTCACTATGAGCCCGCATGAGCCAGGGTGGCTACAATTCATGATGATGATGATGCTACAGCGTCGTCGTCGTCGTCGTCGTCCACTTGAGCGCCGATGGCGAACCCGCGCTCCCCTATCGAGAGAACGCGCTCGAGCGGCCGAAGCCGCTCTACCTTCACCTGGGTCCGCCGAGCGCGAGATGTCAACCTCTCGGTCCCCCGAGGGCTAGAGCCTTCTTGGAACGCCCCGTGCAGGATCTGGGATGGCGTCGTCGTCGTCGTCGCCGCCGCCTCCTCCTCTCCTCCTCCTCCTCATCGCCGTCCTCCTCATCATCGCCCCTCTCCTCCTCGTCCTCCTCGCCCTCCTCCTTTTCCTCCTCCTCCTCGTGCTCCTTCTGCTCCTGCGCATCCGCCCCCATCCTCTTCCCGTTTCTCCCCCTAAACTCCTTCCCTCCTCGCCCCCTTGGTCCTCCTGCTCCTGCTCATCCACCCCCCCATCCTCATCATGCTCCTCTCTCAGGCACGAGACACCTAGGGCGGCCGAGCGCGGACAAGTCAGGTCGGCCGAACACGCAACACCCAGGGCGGTCGAACAAGCCAGGTCGGTCGAGCACCGGACTCGTAAGGCGACCGAGCAAAGACAAGTCAGGTCGGTCCAGAACGGAACACCTAGGGCGGTTGAGCACGAGACACGTAAGGCGGCCGAGCACGAGACACTTATGGCGGGCGAGCACGGGACACCCAAAGCGGTCGAGCACGAGAGCGGAGCTGTCCAACGGTCGGACAAGTCAAGTCGGTCCAGCACGAGACACCTACGGCGGTCGAACAAGTCAGATCGATCCAGCACGCCACACCTAAGGCGGTCGAACAAGTCAGGTCGGTCGAGCACGAGACACCTAAGGCGGCCGAGCACGGACAAGCCAGGTCGGCCTCCTGGAGAGGAGGTAGAGGGCAAGGATGAGGAGGAGGAAGAAGAGGAGAGAAGGGAGGAAGACGGGTGCATAGCGGCCGAGCTCAGGGACCACCTCCTGCGCCCCCCTCTGGCGTCGAGAAAGTGTCGCGCCTGCTGTGCCTGGACGACCGTCGTGCATAGCGGCCGCGCTCAGGGACCACCCCCTGCGCACCCCCTCTGGTGTCGAGAAAGTGCCACGCCTGCTATGCCTGGACGACCGGCGCGTTTAGCGCCGCGCTCAGGGACCACCCCCTGCGCCCCCCTCGGGTGTCGAGAAAGTGCCACGCCTGCTGTGCCTGGACGACCGTCGCGCATAGCGGCCGAGCTCAGGGACCACCTCCTGCGCCCCCCTCTGGTGTCGAGAAAATGCCACGCCTGCTGTGCCTGGACGACCGTCGTGCATAGCGGCCGCGCTCAGGGACCACCCCCTGCGCACCCCCTCTGGTGTCGAGAAAATGCCACGCCTGCTATGCTAGGACGACCGGCGCGTATAGCAGCCGCGCGCTCAGGGACCACCCCCTGCGCACCCCCTCTGGTGTCGAGAAAGTGCCACGCCTGCTATGCCTGGACGACCGGCGCGTATAGCAGCCGCGCGCTCAGGGACCACCCCCTGCGCACCCCCTCTGGTGTCGAGAAAGTGATATATATACGCGTGCTATGCCTGGACGACCGGCGCGTATAGCAGCCGCGCTCGGGGACCACCCCCTGCGCACCCCCTCTGGTGTCGAGAAAGTGCCACGCCTGCTATGCCTGGACGACCGGCGCGTATAGAGACCGCAGCGAGAGACCACCCCCTGCGCACCCCCTGCGGTGTCGAGAAAGTGCCACGCCTGCTATGCCAGGACGACCGGCGCGTATAGAGACCGCAGCGAGAGACCACCCCCTGCGCACCCCCTATGGTGTCGAGAAAGTGCCACGCCTGCTATGCCTGGACGACCGGCGCGTATAGAGACCGCAGCGAGAGACCACCCCCTGCGCACCCCTTATGGTGTCGAGAAAGTGCCACGCCTGCTATGCCTGGACGACCGGCGCGTATAGAGACCGCAGCGAGAGACCACCCCTGCGCACCCCCTTATGGTGTCGAGAAAGTGCCACGCCTGCTATGCCTGGACGACCGGCGCGTATAGCGCCGCGCTCAGGGACCACCCCCTGCGCCCCCCTCTGGTGTCGAGAAAGTGCCACGCCTGCTAGCCAGACGACGGGCGTAGTATAGAGACCGCAGCGAAAAACCACCCCCTGCGCACCCCCCTAATGGTGTCCAGAAAGTACCACGCCTGCTATGCCTGGCGACGGCGCGTATAGAGACCGCAGAGAGGACCACCCCCTGCGCACTATTTAAATAAGCTAAACCACGCGAAGAGTTCCACGAACCCCATATGGTGTCGAGAAAGTGCCACGCCTGCTATGCCATGGACGGTAGCGGCGGCGTATAGAGACCGAGCTGAGAGACACCCCTGCGCACCCAACGGTGTCGAGAAGACAGTGCCACGCCTGCTATGGCCGACGACCGGCGCTTATAGAGACCGAAGCGAGAGACCACCCCATGCCGCACCCCTATGGTGTCGAGACAAGTGCCACGCCGCTGTACCTGGACGACCGGGCGCGTAGCAGGCTCGCTGAGGGACCACTACACCCTGCGCACCCCCTCTGGTGTCGAGAAAGTGCCACGCCTGCTATGCCAGGACGACCGGCGCGTATAGAGACCGCTGAGAGAGACCACCCCCTGCGCACCCCCTATGGTGTCGAGAAAGTGCCACGCCTGCTATGCCTGGACGACCGGCGCGTATAGAGACCGCAGCGAGAGACCAACCCCTGCGCACCCCTTATGGTGTCGAGAAAGTGCCACGCCTGCTATGCCTGGACGACCAGCGCGTATAGAGACCGCAGCGAGAGACCACCCCCTGCGCACCCCCCGTGGTGTCGAGAAAATGCCACGCCTGCTATGCCTGGACGACCGGCGCGTGTAGAGACCGCAGCGAGAAACCACCCCCTGCGCACCCCCTATGGTGTCGAGAAAGTGCCACGCCTGCTATGCCAGGACGACTGGGGCCACGCCTGCTATAGCAGGACGACTGGGGCGTATAGAGACCGCAGCGAGAGACCACCCCCTGCGCACCCCCTATGGTGTCGAGAAAGTGCCGCGCCTGCTATGCCAGGACTGGTGTCGTCTTGTGTGTGCGAGTGTGTGTGCATGCGTGCGGCTGTATGTAGACGCGTGTCGCCGAGACGTGCTGTGCTGTGCTCTGCTGAGCTGTGCTGTGCTGTCCTATGCTGTGCTGCGGTCTGCTGTGCTGTGCTGCGCTGTGCTGAGGAGGAGGAGGAGGAGGAGGAGGGGAGGAGGGCGGGTGTGGGGGAGACGCGGGCGCGGCGCGGCAGGGAAGAAAACCAGAACCCCACGAAGCATGTGGGGAAAAAAACTCCCCATCATTAATGTTTTCGGCCCCCTGACCCCTAACTGCGGTCCCCTCCCAACGGCATAGGGATGCTTCCACGACAGCGTGCCAGGGGTGCCCAGATCGCCCCGAGCGGCCGCCAGAGGCCCGAGGTGCGGCCCGAGGGCCGCCCGGAACTGTGGCCGATCTGGTCTGGGGCGGCTGGCTGGAGGGGGGCCCGGGCAGCCGTCGGGTGTTGCCAGTTGGGCGTTGCGTAATGGGGGGGTCATAAATGGGGGGGTGGCGAGGGTGGTCCGAAAAGGTACCCAAACGGTACCTAAACGAGCCCCCTGGGGCTCCGGAGGGGCCCGAAAGGGGCACGAAAGGGGACCGTTTCTGACCCCCCCATTTATGACCCCCCCATGAAGCCACGCCCAAGCCAGAAGGTCCCCCCAGGATTCTCCAGGGTAACGCAGACGGCCTCCAGGGCACCCCTCACGAGGTCCGGAGGGCCCCAGGGGCTCCCACGCGGAGCGAAGAGCTGGGGGCACCCTGGGCCAGGGGCTCTTCTAGCAGCACCCGAAGCCGTAGAGCGGGATGGGCTCCACGGGGGGACGCATCGGCCAGCCCGATCGCCCCTTCATCGCCGGCAGGGTCCACGTGGCCCGCCCAGGAGCGTGCGCCAGAGCGGGTTGGGCTCAGCTCGAGGAAGCGAAAGAGTCCATGCTGGGCGCACGGATGAGCGACGGTTCCCGTTTCCGTGCAGAGTCGGCGCGGTCCGTCGCAAAACGAGGCGGCACTGGCCTCGTGTCTCGGGGATGCCACCCCCGAGCTGCTGTGATCTGGCGCGGCGACCACGCGGCAGATCCACGGGTCCCTGATCCACGTCAGCGCGCGCCCGAGCAGCAGGGGACGCATCGACAAGCCCGATCGCCCAAGCTCAGCACCGACAGTGGCCCGGTGGCCCGCCCAGGCTAACCAGCCCGCTGCGCTCTCGTCGGAGGCCTGTCGCGATCTGTGGGCGGTCATCGCGAAACCCCGTCCGAGTTCACTTGCAGTCACCATCCCTGACAAGTGCTTCTTAAATACTCCTACAGGCACACAACGTTCAGACAGTCTCGTATAGGGCTAGGTGGACGGCGGACCCGCGGGGACACGTCGTCGGATGGGGCAAAAGGTGTCGCTGTATTACGGTCGAGGTTTTTTCCCCCCCCCCCCCCCCCCCCCCCCCCCCCCGAGCCGGTCGCCCCTTGCCCCAGCGATGCCCCTCGGAGGCGGCCAGGGAGCGGCTGAGCACGCTGCGCAGCCCGAGCTGGTGCTGCGAGGGGAGGGTCGACCTCAAGGACCTCGGGCGGCGGCGGGGCATCCCAGCCTGCCCGTGGTCGCACCAAGACATGTTCTGAGAATCTTCCTGAGGCTGCCCCCCAAAGCCACCTCTCGATGCGGGGGCGGCCGACAAGGGGGTGACGACTGAGGGGTGGAATCGTGGCCGATGGCATGAGATCTGCAGATGTCATGGCGCTTCTCGTTTCGGAAATTCCCCTGGGCCGAGCACCTGCCTCGGGCCATGCTTTGCGAACCCCCCTGTTGGACGCCTCCGATCGCAGGGAAGAAGCACGACGGGAGGTTTTCTGCAGCTTTCGGTCTCTAGGTGCCTCGCCAGACCTCGGGACCGTCAAGAAACGACTCAGGTTGAAAAAGCCAGTCCTTGGGAAGGGTCCAGACCCCTGGGCGTCCGCCTTGTGAAACAAGCGCGACGTCGGAGTTCTGAGTTGTGCGCGGTGTGCTCTTAGAGCGTCTCTGTCCGGCGCAGTCTTACCTTGATGCGCCGGCTGTTTGTGCTATGAGAGCGCCGCTCTCGTTTCTAGGACGTCTCTTCGCTCCGAGGTAAACGAGCCGAATGTTCTGAGAATCGTTGCTTGTTGCGTGAAATGCTCTGCAGGGATCGGCGCGGGGGGTGCTAAGGGGATAGCGGGGCTTTCAGTAGATGCCAAGGTGGGTTGTATCTGCTCTAATCTAGCTTACAACGTTTAATGGATTACAAATACCCCATGTGGCTAAGGGAGGGTACCTCAGTGGACTCCGCCCATGTAGCGGAGTAGTATCAACCCCCTAGGCCACTTGGCGCATGTGCAACCCACTTGTAGGCTAGGCTAGGCCAGAGTAAGCCCACCTTGGCATCAATACACCCCCTATCCCCCCCGCGCGATCCCAGCAGAGCATCTCTGGCCGACGCGCTCCTCCTCTCTGAGTCACCTGGTTTGCTGTGCCATGTGGGAACGCCGGCCCTGTTTTCGGGACGGCTTTTCGTTCTAAGATCGTTCCATGGTAGAATCAGACAATGTACACATCCGCGGCGTCGTGCCGAGAGCCCCCGAGGAGTGGTGCATATGGATATATAATCCCGCCTTCAGGGGCGGGCAGAAATCCGTATCCACCACTGCCCGAGGTCCACGAGCACGACCCTGAAGCTGCGGATATGGATAGATCCTGGTGGTGAATGTAGTACCCAGACATCCGCCAGTATGAGCGTTTCAATCCGCGGCTCCAGAAATCCCAACGCCTTCACCGGGGCCAGTTTTTCGGGTTGGATCCTTCTCTTGAGGGCCCCAGGGCCTGGCAACGAGCTCTGGAGGCCCAAGTCGAAGAGAACGGTCGAACAGTACGAAGTCGTTCCTTGGGAGATCAACAATATTGATACCGCTACCCCCCAGACCTCTCCCAGGGTGCGTTCTGACCAGAACGTCGAGGCGACTCCAGCCGAAGCGTCGAGGGTCCCCCCCCCCCTCCCAGGAGGCCCAAGACGGCGAGAGCTGCAGGCTCTCTTCTCCCCTGAGCTCCGCGGCAGAGAGCACAGGAGATCCGGGGCGGCCCGACCCTGCCCAGAGGACCTCGTGCAGGCCGACTTCGGCTTCTTCACGCGGCGGCTCGAGGCACAGGCCGTCGTCACAGGCGGCGGGCGCACCGCCGTTCGGCGGGAGTGCGACGAGCTGCCCACGGGGTGCTTGATGTTCGGGGACAGCCAGGGTCGGCCACGCGCAGAGGGGGGCAGGGGAGGGAAGGGGAGTGCTTCGTAGAGACATCCCCGCTTCTCTGAAGGCGCGGGCCCGGAATAGAAATGTAAGGCGGGCGCCTTCTGCGAAGCGGCCTTCTTCTAAGAAGCGTTTCCCCTTCGACCCTACCGCCTTGTGCGCGCCGCCCAGCAGGGGCAGCGTCAGGGGGGGATAACGAGGCTCAGGGGCAACGTCAGGTTCCGAGGTTTGGAGTTTCGAGCTTCGAGGTTCGGGCTTTTTCGTCGGTTCCCGGCGGCTTTCCAGCCTCCGGGTGTCTCGCCGACCCAGGTCGAACCAGGGAATCAGGTGCAGCGTCATGGTGGGGCCTTCCTCAAGGGGGGATGCAACTTCGAGGTTAGAGGTTGTAGATTTTCGGGCATTTGCGTTGGGTCTCTTCGGCTTTACAGCCTCGGGGTGCCGAGGGCGTTCCGGGGGTGCTGAGATCGTCCCGAACGGCCGCCGGAGAGCCGAATTCTGACCCGAAAGCGGAGATCAGTCAACGTTAGCGGGGATGGGCTCCGGGGCGGATGCATCGCATCGAATCGCTCAGTCATCGCCGAGAGGTAGGGGCCCGATGGCACCCCGCCCATGCGCATTCGGATTCGCTGTCGAGGGCCGATCGCCAATCTGTCGGCGATGCTTTGCCGATTCCAGGCCGATGTATGCCCTCCTGAGCCTGTCCCCCGGGACAGTGTTCGAGGCCGTCGGCGTCGTCGCCGTCGTCGCCATCGTCGTCGTCGTCGCCGCCGCCGCCGCCGTGGCCGCCGCCGTGGCCGTCGCCGTCGGTCGTCGTTGGTCGTCGTCGCCGGTCGTCGTGGTCGTTGGTCGTGGCCTTCAACGCCGTCGTCGCGCTCGTTGTCGTTGCCGCCTGTCCTCGTCGCCGCCTCGTGAGCCGCTATACCCCCTTGCTTCTGCCCCTCAGGACAGGCCCGCGCAGAGGCGGCCGGAGGGCCTCGCCTTCCGGGTGCGCGTCGAGTCCACGACGGGCAAGTTCTCGGGCCGGAGGGCGCCAGCCATACCCAGACCTCCAACATTCGGGTGTTGCTAAGGTGCCCCTGGCCCGAGGTGCCCCCAGCTTTTCGTTCAAGTTTAGAGCTCCTGGGGCCCTCTGGGCTTCGCGAAGGGCGATCTAGTGGCCGCTGGGGCCTCCTTGGAAGTCCTGCGGGCACCTTGGGCCAGGAGCACTTCCAGCAACACCCGAACCATATTGAAAGAAACACGACGTAGGTTTTTCGAAGTTTCTGGCCTTCGGGGGTCTTCGCTGGAAGCCCAAGACGGTCAGAGAACGACTCGGGACCAGAAGCCAGCCTTGCGGAATGGGTCGGGACTGCCGGGCCTCCGGGTCCAGAGATCGGGGCCCCCGGTCTCGGGGCCCGTGATCCTGGCGTGCATCTGCCGCACCTCCTCTCCGAGGCGGGAGGTCACAAATCATCACCCGCCGCCGGAGGAGCCGATGTTTCGCCACCCCGGGTGGCGGTGGGTATGGACGGCCCAAGAGCCAAGATCTCCGACGACCTGCTTTTTTCAACCCGTGGTTCTTCCTCGATTCGCTCCTGTGGGGCCCAGGACCATTCACAATGGATCTGGGGTGAAACATTGGCCCCAAGGAAGGGGTCCAAGGAAGGGGTCGGGAGCTTTGCGGCCGCGCATTAAGAACTATGCCGTCTGATGTCTGGGTACATTTACGGTCAGGAGCGATCGATCCAACTGGTTCGATCGGAGGTCAATTCCGATCCTGTCAATCCGATTCGGTAACGGTCGCGCACGGTCTGATCCGATCTGGTTCTGATCTTCTGGCGAGCTCATGCTGCCCGACGCCTGCACGGCGTACGGTCGGGAACGTTTGCTTGGCGTGTCGCCGCCGGCACTGGCCCATGGAGCCTCGGCGCGGCACGCTAGCCAGCTCCTGGTCCACGCGCGTCAGCGGCTTGAGTTTTCCCCAGCCTCCCGCCCCGTGGGGCGAAGCGGCACGCTATCGTCTCGTAGGGCACAGCGTGTCGCCAGGGCCGCCGCCGCCGTGACGCTCTAAGCGAGAGTTCCCGACCGTACACTTCGTACACCGAGCCTGGCCAGGCTGATCTTGGGCTCAGGATGGGCCTGGCCGCGATCTGGGTGAGGGTGTAGCGGGCACACTCCCATCAGGGCTGCCCTTCGTCGGGTTCACGACGCGAAGGCCGTGCGGCGAGGCCAGCGACCTGCCCCGGCTCTCAAAGTGCCTCGCGGAGAGCGTCATCGTCGGCGGGAGCGGCGAGGCGTTTGCCCGCGATGCGAGCACGCACTACGTCATGGGGTTCAAGCCGCCTCCCGCCACCGAGATCCAGTCCTGGTCGCTGCAGCCAGACCTGCCCACTCACAAGCGCGAACCGCCGGCAGTGGCGCGCGAGGGCGACGAGATCGAGTGCAGGTACACGTGGGACGGGCGCATCCAGTTCCTCCTCAACGACACCGTTGTGATGGGCTTTGACACTGGGAGACCGCTGGCGGAGGATGCCCAGTACTACGCCGTGGTGGACGTCTGCCTCTCGACGACCAGCCTCACGCTGTTGCCTGTGCCGAACCCGATGTCGAAGGATCAGTGCCACGAGTCGGCTACACGGAAGAGTGACTCTTCGCGAGAGTGACCTTTGGTAATGGCCCATTGGGGTCCCCCGATCGCCGAAGTTCGCCGAGTGCGATGCTGTAGCAGCGGCTTGTGCGCCTGGATTTGGCCCCTTGGCCCTTGGCGGCCCCCAGAAGCCGCGGACCAACAGTCACTCTTGCCTAGGGCCACTTTTGCGTGTAGCCGAACGAGATGCATATCTGCCGCCAAGGGAACCGATGTCCCAAGGCCCCATCAGGCTCATCAGGCAGCGTATGCGCATACTCCCAGACATCCGACAATCTTTTGTTTCAATGCGTGGCCCCAGCGGTCCCAACCCCTTCCTTGAGGCCAGTTTTTCGCCCCCGAACCATTTTTGGTAGTCCCGGGGCCTGGTAACGGGCCCTGGAGGCCCAAATCGAGGAAGGACCACCAGTTGAACAGAACAAGATCGTCGGAGATCTTGGGTCTGAGGGAGCCTCAAATACGCTTCCATGCACACCGCCTCCTGGGGTCCTGGGTCATCGGCTCCTCACGCGGCGCATAATCATGTGTGATCTCTGGCCTTGGAGAGGAAATGCGGCAGATGCACGCCAGGATCCGGGCCGCTCATGTCAGCAGCATGAGCACCCTGGCGCCCTGCGACCTGAACTCCGTCAGCGCCGACGGCGTCACAGGGTGCTTCACGCGCCAGTCCACCAGCTGGAGCGTCTTGAGCGGGTGCTCCAACGACGACCTCGGCGAGCAGGAGGTCTTCGACGAGCACGGCCCTGGCAGGAGTCGGCGGCGCGCGCAAGGGGGGGTTGGGGCGAGGGGGGCTCATTTGAGAAGGCGGATGCCTCTAGATCTGCGACCCTTTGCGAACCCTACCCCTTCGGGTCCACCCGACGCTGGGGCATCGGACACCCCAGCTGGGGTTCACTTGGCCGCAGGCATTCTTCAAGTTCTGAACCCCAGCCGGTTTTTGGAACCCTGACCTGCAGGGGTTGGGTTTACATGCGGCTGCTTATATTTGAAGCCAAGGGGGGGCCTCTTGGAAGCCATCCAAGCTTCTCAGAAGGCCGTGTACCAGACTGGCTCGATGCACGCACGCGTAGAAGCGTGACTCGAAGTGGCGTGACGCACGGCTGGCGTCGTCCAGCTCCTGGCCCTCCCGAGAAGGCCCTTGCCTCCTGAGAAGCCCGTGGCTTCTCAGAAGGCCGCCCCCCTCGCGCCACATCCTTCGTGCGCGCGGCCACCTTCCCTCTGCTGGTCCTTACCCCATCCCTTCATGCCCCCCCGCGCGCGAGGGGCGGGGAAGGAGGGATATGATAGGAGGGAGAGGGGGAGGGAGGAGGAGGAGGAGGAGGAGGAGGAAGAGGAGGAGGAGGAGGATCAGGAAGAGGAGGAGGAGTAGGAGGAGAGGCCACCATTAGCACCATATTTGTTTACCATGCCATTCCTCTTCTTGCTTATATGTTTCTTGCTGGCCTCCCCTTCTTGCTCCTTCCTCCCGTGCGATAGTAATCCGGGCATATTTGCTATCAGCCGCGTGGCCGCTTAGGTTGCAACTTGCTTGTGGTACTGTGCAATGCCCTTGCGCTAGTCCGTACGCATGTCGCACACACACACACCGCCTGTATCAGTCTCCCTCGCCTCGCTTCTGTCCTCGCCCCCTCCCCTGTTCCTCCTCGTCCTCTCTTTCTTCTCCTCCTGTGACGTTTTTGTAGCTGGCCAGGTGCTCCTCCGATGCATGCTGCGGGGCAGCATTGCTACGGCGGTTTGCAGTCTGACAGATCGTTGAGTCATCGTCGATTGGATGAAACATGCAAGTTTTCGCTGCATCTCTCGTGCCCGAACTGACAGCAACCTTAATTTGTTCACTCATGCCTAAGTCGGCGTATTTCGTGTTAATATCACTGCCTCACAGAAAGCTACAGCCAAGAAGTCTCAAGCTTGCTCAACGTGAAACAAGAGGAGGTGTGAGTTGAACAGACCCGCATCTTGAAGGCTTAGGGGAGGAGGAGGAGGAGGAGGAGGAGGAGGAGGAGGAGGAGGAGGATGAGGAGGAGAAGGTGGAGGGGAAAAGGACCAGTGCAAACCCAAGAGTCATCAACGATGTTGGGATAAACCTTCCCTCCACGCTCCCTCTTCACTGGCCCCTATAACGGTTCATTTCCACTGAGGGAACTCCCTCGTTGGAAGACAACCGCTTGAAAACCCTGAAGCATGCCAAAACATTGTTCTCGGGATTCCAACGCCACGGATAATCTTGATTGTTGCGTCTTGACGATCCTGACTCGCGCCAGGATGCCATTCCTGGCACTTCAGCACCGCGAATAAACGTAACTGTTGCGCCTTCATAATCCTGAATCCTTCCGGATCGCAATTTTTGGTACGCGGATCGTGGGGATTTGTGGAACCATTGTAAATTTTGAAAACTAATGTGCGCGTCGCTAGGGCAAGAGCCACCGTTTGGAGAGGAACCGCCCTCAATCCGTGAAGTTCTTGCACATTTAAATAACGAACGTGCGCGACGCCAAGGCGAGTGCCACATTTTTAAAAGGGCCGCCCTCAATCCGTGAAGCTCCTGCAACATTTCAAAACGAAAGCGCGCGGCTTTAAAGCGAGAGCCACATTTTGAAAACGACCCGCCCTCCATCTATGAAACTGTTGTCACTTTTCAGGCTTCAGGGTCATAAATGGTGAGGAAGTCTCTGGCGAAACGGCCGGCCCGCCCTAAAAACTGGCCTCCGGGTGCGACAGGGAGAAGTTGTTTATGAGGGAAAGAAGTGTGGGAGGAGGAGGAGGAGGAAGAGGAGGAGGAGGAGGAGGAGGAGGCGGAGGAGGAGGAGGCGGAGGAGGAGGAGAAGAAAAAACTCGTCTGCCGCCGCTAGGAGGTGCCTGCCCAGGGCGGAGACGATCCTGCTGCGGACCTTCCAGGTTGGCCTCTTCGGGGCAGGGCTGCCGTGCGCAGGGCGCTAGGCCTGCGGCACTGCTTGGAGGCGGACGGGGCCCTGCCCGTGCCGGGCCGCGCCAGGCCCGAGGCGGAGTTCATTGTGAGCCCAGAGGGACCTTCGTGGAGCCAGGAGCACGCGGCTTCGCCTCTCCACCACCGTGGTGGACGCGTCTCCTTCGTTCGAGGGCCCCCCCAAACATATATATATATATATATATACATATGTATGTATATATATATATATGTATAGACACATATATCTATATATACACACATCTGCAGAGGTCCGAACGGATCTCCGAGGGTTTTCTGCGTATGTTCATTTTTGTTATTGGATCTCCCCTCCCCCGTCCAGGTGGATGCATCCCATTTCCGTGGCCACTTGTGAGCCCTACGTCCACGGGTCCACTCGGCGCTGGGGTACCGACCCCCCCGGTTGGTTGTACTCGGCTACAGGTCTCCTCAAAATTCTGGCCCTCGTCAAGTTTTTCATGATTCTGACCTGCAGGGGTAGGGTTCGCATATGGTTGCTTGTCCTTCCCCTCCCCCCTCCGCGCTCTTCCTCATCATGTCTTCTTTCCGTCTCAGAACACTGCACCGCTGGGCGACTCGCCGAGGGTGTAAGCATGAGGCGGCCGGATCTAGCGATCCAGTTCTAAAGTTCTCGTCGCGCGTGTGATTTTTGAACGCGGGAGCTGATGATCAGACTTTCTGACACTTTCAGAGTTTTCGGGCACGGAGTTACTAGAGCTGAATGTGATTTCAACGATGCGGCATACTTGTGATCTCCGACTGAAATGCACAGCGTATTCTTCGACCCGGATTTACCTGGAGTCGATATATTTCCTTCTCTGCCAGGCGGCAACTTCCCCAAAGAGTGTTTGCATCTAGGGGGTCTTACTTGGCTTACTCGAGGTCAGTCGTTGGTTGTGCCAAAGATTCCGGCTGGTGCCCTGCTGGTGGGCACCCGTGGGCACCTTGTGGGCATTTCGTGTTGGGAGGGTGTTCCGAGATTCGGCTTGGTGCCCGCCCGTGGGCGCCTCGTGTGCTCGGTGAGTGTGCCGAGGGTTCTCCCAGTGCCCGCCCGTGGGCGCTTCGTGCGTGGGGTCTGTGTGCGTGCCGAGATCCCGCGCGGTGCCCGCCCGTGGGCGCCCCGTGGGCGCCTCGTGGGCGCCTCGTGGGCGCCCGGTGGGCGCCTTGTCCACGGGGCGCCCGCGCGGATACTTCAGTCTGAAACTCAGAGCGTGAATTACCTACCCCGCTTTCGCTTCCAGGCAAAACCAAGTCATACCACGCGCCTCCTCGTCAAGCGGCCTGACCAGTACAGGCCGTGGTTTGGCATCGCTTGGTATCTCTTGGAAGCGAGGGTGGTCAAAAGCGAGGTAGGTTTGTTTTGCCCCTAGAAACAGAGTCCCTCCCTTCCCCTCCGTGCCGCGCCCGCGAAGCACAGGAGCACAGGAGCTTGGGTTGGGCACTTCCGTCCCTCTCCCGTCCCCCTCGTTCCCCTTTCCCTTCCCCTCCCCGTTATCCTTGAGCGCGTGCGGCTTTTTGAGTTCCTTTCAAGCACTTGAAGGTCTGCCAGTTCGGATTCTCGGGTTCGCTGTGTGTGAGGAGGAGGAGGAGGGGGAGGAGGAGGAGGAGGAGGAGGAGGAGGAGGAGGAGGAGGAGGAGGAGGAGGAGGAGGAGGATGGCGAGCAGAAGTGCTAGGGGCCTCTTGGATGCCTGTCGGAGTCTCCTTAGATGTCCTTTGAGAGCTTCCTGGAGTATTCTTGGGGCGTCTTGGGGGCCTCTTGGCGGTTCTGGAGGCCTGTTGGAGCGCCTGGGGAGCTTCTTGGGGCATCTTGGGGAACTGCCTGGGGTCCTTGGACATCTTCGGGTCCTCTTGGACAAGGGCCGATTCGGTTTCGAACCCGTTTCGGCTTCGGCCCGTTTCGGCCTCCGCCCGTTTTGGCTTCGGCTCATTTCGGCTCGGCTCTTTTCGGCTCCGCCCCGTTCGGCTTCTGCGCGTTTCGGTTTCGGCCCGTTTCGGCTCCGCCCGTTTCGGCACAGCTGGGTTCGGCTTCGGCTCGTTGCGGCGTGCGAGCGTGAAACTGAAGGCCGAAGCGGGCCGAGACCGAAACGGCCGGAGCCGAAGCGGGCCCACGGGTTGGAACCGAAACGTGCCTGGCCTAAACGGACTGGAGCCAGAACGGGCCAGGACGAAACGCGCCGAAGCCGAAACGGGCCGGAACGAAACAGGCCGGGTCGAAACGCGCCGAAGCCGAATCGAGCGGATGGAGCCGACACGGACCAGAGCACAACCGGTATTTGGGACCCGTTTCGGTTCCAGGCCCTCGGAGGAAGACGAAACAGGCTCGGGAGCCTCAACGGGCCTGGGGTCCCTGTGGATGAGGAGGTGCCCGTCGCCGTCACCCTCATCCCGGCTCCCGCTCACGGTAAGCATAGCGTAACGGGCGTTTGCGGAAGAGGTGAATGAAAGAGGAGAAGGAGGGCGCGGGACACCATTTCGAGGAGAGGCTGACGAGTGCCAGCAGCGGCCTGACACGGGCTCGCGCCAGAGCGGGGCTCGGCCCCCCCTCTCCATCGCACAGGACCCTCACGAGGCGCCCACGGGCTGGGACCAGGCGACACATACGCACACCAGCCCAACGCACGATGCTCCGACGAGCTTGCACGTGGCAAAGCCTCGGCAGCCGCACACAGACGCGCACATACACGCACACACAGCGCACGAGGCACCCACGGGCGGTACCAAGCAAAACCTCCCCCCACCCACCCAACACGTGTCGCCCACGAGGCGCCCACTGGCGCCACCAGCAGGGCCAAAGCCGAAAGCCCTGCACATCCAGCGAAGCACTTGAAACAACATTCGGAAGGACCCCCAGAGTGCGAACACTGTGTTGTGGTCAAAGCGTCACGGGAAAATGCAACCAGGTCTCATACCACATTATAGAACGACGTAATTACGTATGAAAGAGTAACGCTCGCCTATGTCCAAGCCAACCCCAGCCAATCTTTCAGGCAGAGAAATGCGCGCCAGAAGCCAGCCAGGGGCATGGAGGGGGGAGTTCCACTCCCATACAATCGCTCGTCAGGTTCCTGACACCAATGGCGGAGAAGGCGCCACAACACGAATGTAACAAGTCATTTTCCCGAAAGTAAAGCCTACCCACGCCATCCCTAAACGAAGCCGAAATTAACCAGATCCGTCGAAACAGTCGACTCGAAGCCAAAACATGCCGAAGCCGAAACGGGCCGGAGCCGAAACGCGCGAGAACGAAATTGATTGGAGCCGAAACGCGCTGGGACGAAACAGGCCGGAGCTGAAACGGACCGGGACGAAGCGGACCGGAGCCAGAACGCGCCGGAGCCGAAACGGGCCGAAGCCGAAGCGGGCCAGCGCCACCGGGAACCGAAACTTGCGGGAGCCAGAACGGGCCGAAGCCGAAACGGGCCAGAGCCGAAACGGGTCGAAGCCGAAATCGGAGTCGAATCACGCCAGGACGAAACGAACCGAAGACGAAATGGGCCGGGACGAAACGGGCCGAAGCCAGAACGGGCCAGGCCGAAACGGGCCGAAGGCGAATGAGACCGATTCAGCCGAAGTTGGCTTCCCCCCACCGGCCCAGGAGGCCCAAATTGGTCCCAAACCCAAATGAAGTAATGAGTTTTGCCTTCCAGCCGATGCCTTTCCTTGGACGCTCTTACGGCCCGTGGCCCCTCAGGGGCCGCCATCGACATCCGTTGGGAACCAGTGCAGACGCCAGCCAGGTGCGCGACGCCTCTGAGGGGCGCCTCACATGCCAGCTGCGCCACGCGCACCAGGTGCGCCACACTGGGCAATATGTCGACCCCGACACAGTCCTCGTCCAAAACCCATGCACAGTGACGGCAGACTTGCTAGCATTCTGTATTGCGTGTGCTCCCGCAATCATTTTGCATGTGGTGCTCGACAGGGATGGTGGCCCCGCACACAGCAGACAATATGTCGGCCCCTCCACCGCCCCTGTCAACAACCCACGTCAAGTGACCGCGGGGCGCCCGCGCATGATCCTGATTTTTGGTGCAGAGTGCATTTTTCCCTACCTAGGCTCTGCCTAGAAGGGTTCTTACTATCTTTGCTTAAAGGGCCGGGCAGTGCTAACCGCCCCGGGCGGTTCCCCCAGTCCCCGCCCCGCGGTTCCCCCAGTCCCCTGGGAGCTTTAGCCTTAGCTTTATTTTTAGCTTAGCTTTAGCTTTAGCGTTAGCTTTAGCTTTAGCTTAGCTGTAGCTTAGCTTTAGCTTAGTGTTAGCTTAGCATTGTAGCACTAAATTGTATGTACTATAGCTTACGCTTAGCTTCAGAACTTAGCTTTAGCTTAGCGTTGAAAGACTAGCTAGCTTGAGCTTTAGCTTCAGCTTTCAGCTTATAGAACTTTAGCCGCTAGTCGTTTAGCTTAGCTTTAGCTTAGCCTTAGCTTAGCTTTAGCGAGGCTGTAGCTTAGTTTTAGCTCTTTAGCTTTAGATTCGCATGGCTTAGTGTCTAGTTATGCTTAGCCTTAAGGCTTTAGCCTTATTGTTTAGCTTAGATTTAGCTTAGCTGTAAGTTAGCTTTAGCTCAGATGTAGCTAGGCAGCTTAGCTGAGCTTAGCTTTAACTTAGATTAGGTTAGCTTAGCTTAGCGTTAGCTTCGCTTTAGCTTAGCTTTAGTTATATTTAGCCTTAAGCTGTAGCTTGAGCTTTAGCTAAGCTTTAGCTTAGCTTTAGCTTAGCTTTAGCTAGCTCATCTTAGCTTTAGTTTAGCTTAGTTAGCTTTAGCTTAGCTGAAGCTTAGCTTTAGCTTAGCGTTAGCTTAGCTTTAGCTTAGCTTTAGCTTAGCTTTAGCTTATAGTTAGCTTAGCTTCAGCTTAGTGTTAGCTTAGCTTTAGCTTAGCTTTAGCTTAGCTTTAGCTTAGCTTTAGCTTAGCTTTAGATTAGCTTTAGCTTAGCTTCAGCTTAGCTTTAGCTTAGCTTCAGCTTAGCGTTAGCTTAGCTTTATCTTAGCTTTAGCTTAGCTTTAGCTTAGCTTTAGCTTAGCTTCAGCTCAGCTTTAGCTTAGCTTTATATTTGTAATACTAATGCTGACTTTCCTAGGGCTCCAACATAGGTAGGTTCGCCACTGGAAATGAATTGTATTTTGCAGAATTGTTGGGCGGGGGGTGGCATTGCACAGCAGGCAATATGACGCCCCCCCCGCCCTCCGTATCTGAAACCATGTGAAGTGATCGCGGAGCGCCTGCGCATGATCCTGAATCCGGTGCGAAGTACACATATAACGGCGCACCGGGTCCGGGGGCCCGGGGCCGGGACCTCGACCACAAATGTGCGCCCCGGGGGGCCCGGAGGCTCGTCGGGGCTTGCCGGAGGCCTCCCCAGTCAGACAAGACGGCCCAAGAAGCGCCCAAGACGGCCCAAGAAACTTCCAAGAGGCCTCCAAGAGGGCTCCGAGATGCTGAAGATGCCTCCAGACGTCCAAGGACGCCCCCAAGAGGCCCCAAGAAGCCTCCAACATGCGTCCCAAGAGGGCCCCTAGACGCAAAAATTGGCCCATTCCCTTCGTAAAACGTACATTTTCAACAAAGTTGGCTTTTGGGCTTTCCGACGTTACAGGACGGCCCAAGAGGCGCCCAAGACCGCCCCAAGACGGCCCAAGAAGCTTCCAAGAGGGCCCCAGGACAGCCCAAGAGGGCCCCAAGACGGCCCAAGAGGCGCCCAAGATTGCCCAAGAGGGCCCCAAGACGGGCCCAAGAGGGGGCCCAGAGGGGGACCACGAACCGCAAGCTCGAGCCTTCCGCCCCAAGAGGCCGCCAGGAGGCCGCCAGGAGGCCCCTCAAGAGGCCCCAGGAGACCCCAGACGTCCAAGGACGCCCCCAAGACGCCCCAAGAAGCCTCCAA